TCTCTGTTCAGCTCCTTAGCCCATCTTTTAATTGGGTTGCTTCTTGTCTTGGTTCTCTGTTTTTTGAGTTCGTTATAAATTCTGGTTATTAAACCTCTGTCAGATGTGTCACCGGTGAACATTTTCTCCCATTCTGTGGGTTTTCTGTTTGCTTCCTTGGTTGTCTCCTTTGATGTACAGAAGGTTTTTAGTTTAATGAGGCCCCATTTGTTAATTCTTGCCCTTGTTTCCTGAGCAATTGATGTCCAGTTTAGAAAATCCTTTCCTACTTCTTGGCCCCTTTGTCAAATATCAGGTGGCTGAAATTGCATTCGCTCATATTTGGGTCTTCAATTTTGTTCCCTTGGTCTATGGGTCTATTTTTGTGCCAGTACCATGTTGTTTTTATGACTATAAACCTGTAACACAGCTTGAAATCTGGTATAGCAATCCCTCCGGTATTGCTCGTAGTGCTGAGGGTTGTTTTGGCTATCCGAGGTCATTTGTGCTACCATATGAATCTTAGGATAGTTTTTTTCCAATTCTGTGAAAAATGTCATGGGGATTTTGATTGGCATTGCATAAGAAGAACAGTTGACCCTCCTAAAACAAAGACCTCCTGTAACACAGCTTGAAATCTGGTATAGCAATCCCTCCGGTATTGCTCGTAGTGCTGAGGGTTGTTTTGGCTATCCGAGGTCATTTGTGCTACCATATGAATCTTAGGATAGTTTTTTTCCAATTCTGTGAAAAATGTCATGGGGATTTTGATTGGCATTGCATAAGAAGAACAGTTGACCCTCCTAAAACAAAGACCTCTAGATAGGCTAACTAGATTCATCAGAAGGGCAAGTAATGGGGAATGGCTGGGGGTGCTGACAACACAGAAGGGCTCTATTGGGGGGAGGGAGGCTATGAGAGGTTACTACCTGGGAAGTGGGTGTCTAAATAAATAAAAAAGAAAAAAATTCTTCAAAACATAAAAATTTGCTCCTTAATAATTAGTAGATGTGAGGAACATTACCATTGAAATCTACCTGATGACTTTATATCCATGCTCAAATGCTAAGGAGTTCTGAAAGTAACCAACTGTGACTAGTAATAATCAGATATGTAGAGATTAGAAACACATGTGCATCGTAGTTTCAATTGTATTAAAAATGAATTTTTCTGTATAAAACTGTACTTTAATAATGAAATGGAGATCTTTTTTAAAGTTTAAAACCTCATTTCATTTTATGTCTTAGAGGGGTTTTACGGAGTACAATATTGTATAACTGTATCAATTCAACTGTAAACTTAAAAATTTACAGCCAATTTTGAAAAAGATACATCTTAGCTCTGGAAATTGTTATTGAATATGACAATGCTGTTGTAATGAAATGCTTCTTCTAGTTATATGGTTATTAAATAAATAATTAAGAAAAAAGAAGGATAAAAAACAAAAACAAAAACAAAAACAAATGACTAGTAATAATCAGATATGTAGAGATTAGAAACACATGTGCATCATAGTTTCAATTGTATTCTGTATACAGTTTTCTGTATAAAACTGTACTTTAATAATGAAATGGAGATCTTTTTTAAAGTTTAAAACCTCATTTCATTTTATGTCTTAGAGGGGTTTTACGGAGTACAATACTGTATAACTGTATTAATTCAACTATAAACCTAAAAATTTACAGCCAATTTTGAAAGAGATGCATCTTAGCTCTGGAAATTGTTATTGAATATGTTAAAGCT